CCGCTCACGCTGGCTGCTGGCTACACACGGTAGCCCATGGCAACCCACTGCAGCAGGGGCTGCAGCCTACGTCGTCGCCGGCGACTCACGGCAGCCCAGCTCCAGGTCGAGATTTTGTTCAGCATCTTAGCTGTAGAGGGCAGTGTCACTGGCCCTTATATGTGGGATCCGAACCGGGGTCCTCTGGAGTCCCAAGCCAGTTCTTAACCAACGTGCCACTCGGCCGGCCCCGGATTTTTTTTTTTTAATCAACTGTTTTTACCTATAATTTATTTCTAAAGGAACCTTTATATAAATATCATACCTATGAAATCAAAGGTTCAACAAAGTTAGTTTTATTTTTCATACATCAACATAAAAACATATCTATTCAAAGTAAAGCAACTGTTTTTCCAGGTACCACTTTAAATGGTCTCACAGGGGTAACACTGGTCCAGGTGACCCTGGTTTTTTAATTTGTGTTTTCAGAGGTGCCTCTGGCTCCAGGGGTGGGAGGGGTCTGAGTTGCCCAGCCCCTCTTCAACTAGAGCGCCTCCTTTTTAATCTAGTTTCTATGTTGGGGTTGCACACAACAGTTTGTATAACAAAAATAATCCCAGCTAAAAAAATAATATCTAAAAACTGCTGGTCTAGTCCAACCTGCTCACCATGCAGAGGAGGGAACCAAGGTCAGGACAGAGAAGTGGCAAAGCCTGACCTCAAACCCAGGTCGTTGAGCCCCCAAGTCTCCCCAGAGACAGAGGGAAGGTTTCTCCATCCATTAAAGAGGCACATTCAGCTTGTGGCTGGGAAGCGTGGAAGGCTCGTGCTGGGGAGGGGGTTGGAGAGGTGAGTGTGGGGGATGAGGGGTTGGGAGGGGGAGGTGGAAGCAGGGACTGGAGGAGCAGCTCCAGGCGGAGCTGGAACAGCCCCTTTAAGCACAGCTGACCCCTCCAAGGGCAGGAGACCACAGCCTGATTTGTTGCAGCTTCCCCTTGGGGACACCCCTGGTGGGGACAACTTGGGGAAGAGGAGCCAAGCGTCCTCCCATGAACACTCGTCAGGATCCTGGGGGGAGGTAATTAAAATCCAGCCCACCACCAACTCCTACACGTCTTCAGACTCACCGCCTTTCAGCCCCTGCCTTCTACCACACTGCTTCACACACTGTGGGCATTCTGATTGTTAATTTGGCCTATGGGACCCCACCTCTCAGTGTGCCCCTGCTTCCAGCTAAGAACCATGTAGGAATTTGTGGGAGCCCCACAACCACCCAACCAAGGCAGAGTTCTCCCACGAGCAGCTGGAGGGGTTGTGTAAGCCATTCCCTTCACCACCCTAGTAAACCCTTCCAATGAATGGTGCCCTGTTGGCCGCTTCAGACCAATAGCCCTTCCCCCTCCCCACGTGGCCCCAACCCCTTCACAGGATAAGTGTGGGCATAAGCAGGCTAAGCCAGGGGCCCTCCCACAACTCTGGAAACCTGGTAAGCCCAGCGTCTTCAGGGCGGAGGGGGGCCCTGTGGGCTCCTACAGGGCTCCCAGGGCCCCAAACCCCTCAGAACATGGCGCTTCTCCGCCTCTGCTGAGAGATCCAGCCACGGGGGTGCACGTCCATCTGCAGCATCTTCATCACCCACTTGTCACGACGGGCACCTTCAATAAACTCATTCAGAGACAGCTGGCCTGAGCAAGGGGTAGGAGAGACAGTCATGCAGGAGAATGGAAGAAATGGGGTTGGGGGCAAGAGGAGAAAAGGGTGCGCCTATAGCTCTTATACAAGCAAGGCTGCAGCCTCAGGGCCTAAGCTTGGGGCCTGTTAATTCTCCGATTCTCCAGGAATCTCCTGGAACCTTCAAGGGTTCCTTTAAGGGACTTTCTTTGCAAATGAGTTCAAGTTTTACGTTTGCCCATGGTACGCTGGAGGTGTTCTTGAGGGGGTCTTCTGGGTGTGTTCCCTGCCAGCTCCCTCCCTGCGTACCCTTGGGGCTAGGCATCAGGGTACGGGAAGGAGAGCCCCAGTAGGCCTAATGGAGGCCTACCTTATGCCTGGCTCTTAAACACGTTGCTCCTTTTATTCCTGTCAGCATCATTATGCCCATTTTCCAGGTGAGAACACTGAGACCAAGCTGAGAGGTGACATGTACCATCCTGTCTGCCTGACTCCGGAGCTCCTGCCCTTTCGCTACGCTTGCCTGGCCTCCATCAGCAACTCCAGTGGGAGTTTTAATCACTCTTACAGACATAACATGCTCGTGACGCCCTTTGTAATTTCATGTAGTCCTCTCTACACCCAGCTCACAGATGAAGAGGCCAGTTAGGAAGAGGAGAGTTCTGCCCAAGGTCACATGGTCAGGAAGTGGGAGTGCTACGGAGTCGGCCCCCATCCCTGCCCGTTACCATCTCCGTTCTCATCCACCAGGAGGAAGATCCTGTCCACGACCTCCTCAGGTGTGAGCAGCTGGCCTTGCTGCTCAGCCTCCGTCTCCACCCTGCAGGCTTTCTTCAGCTTGTAGATCGCCTGCCAGAGAAAACCCAGAGGCACTGCTGGGATCCTGCAAACTCCACCCCCTTCCTCAGGACCCAGGGCCCTCAGCACTGCAGACTGTGCGTCTGAGGACCACAGGACCCAGATCCAAACCCAAACCGACCTGCCCTACGGCTATTCTCTCGTGGTCCTGTTGGCCTAGTCCCAACTGAGGAGCTCCTCACCCCACTTGCCACCCCACCCCACGCTGCAGGCATTTTCATTGTAAGTGCCAGATCTGAAACCTAAAACCTCTAATGAGGGATGTATATGGCCCTGTGATGCTCTAAACAGCACTTTATGGAGGAAAATGGGGATCCAGAGAGGAAAAGACAATTTAGTATATTTATGGGTATGTGTGTGTGTCTATGTGTGTGAAATAGGATGATGAGAGATTCAGGTGTTTGGACTAGATGGAGAAGAGCAGGTTTCCTCTCCCAGTGAGGCAATGTTTGTGAAGTGAGATGGGGACGAGACAGATAAACCTGAGGATTAACCTTAGTTCCTAGACTGGACGCTCTCTGAGGACAGAGGCGTATCTGGCAGATCCCCAGGACCACTGCCCAGCACAGTGCCTGGTGCAAAGCAGGCCTCCCTGGGAATCTCAGGCGTTACAGCAGCTCCAGCACCTCCTGACGGATGAACTTGGGCAAACAGAACCTCCGTGAGGGGATTTCCTATCTGTAAAAGGGGCTAAGAACTCCCAACCCGTAAGCACAGCTCTGGGAAGTAATAGGCTAGTACTGTTCACTTGTCAAGAGTCTGCCCTCTAGTAGGTCTTTTATTCCCCTTGTTCGTTCTTGCTAGTAATCTGTCAGCTTTGTTAGTCCTTCCACAGAACCAACTTTTGGTTTTCTTTACGTTTCTTCTCTTATGCATTTGTTTTCTAGTTCATTCATTTCTGCTCTTTCTTATTTCCTTTCTTTTCCTTTCTTTGGGTTTAATGTACTCTTCTTTTTTCTAATTTCTTAAGATGACTTCCTAGGTCATTGATTTTTCTGCCTCTCTTATTTTCTAATAAATACATTTTGAGTGATACATGTTTCTGCAAGCCCAGCTAGCTGCGTTCCACAAATTTTGTTACGTTATGCTTGCATTATTATTCAGTTCACAGTAGTTTGGATGTGTGTGTGTGTGTGTGTGTATGATATTATTTCTTTGATTTATGGAGTATTTAGAAGTGTTTTGCCTAACTTCCAAACACATGGCATTTTTTCCCGTTATCTTTTTGTAACTGATTTCTAGCCATGGTCAGAAAGCACACTCTGAATGGTTTCAGCGCCGTTTCCCAGGCCGCAGCCCCAGGGGCCCCTGCTCCAGCAGCCAGCCCTCAGAGCCCAGCAGTGCTCCTGTGCCCAGGTGCCTGGCCCCACTGGCAGACACTGACCTCCACGATGTCGAGCAGCTCCAGGCGGTCGATGCAGCCATTGTGGTCCTTGTCATAGATCTTGAAGGTCCACTTCAGCTTGTGCTCCAGGGTGCCCCTCAGCACCAGGTTCAGGGCTGCCACATACTCCAGGAAGTCAATGGTGTTGTCCTGCATTGGGAGTGGGAGCTGTAAGCCCCCTCCTGCCCACCGCCCCACCTGCCCAGAGTACAGGTGTGTGCCCTACTCTGTGCCATCCTCCCCTACAAAATCAGGGCCTCGCCACGTCCTTGCAATCCATGAGGCCTCTGAATCTTCGCTCATGCTGCTCTCCATCCTGGCATCTTTCCCCAGTTTCCATGATCACCCGATGCCACCCGTCCTTCAAGACTCAGCTCAAGGGCGCCCTCCTCTTGGAAGCCTTCCTTCTTGGCCCAGATCAGCCATACAGATCTCTCTCTCCCTCTTCTAACATTCACAGCACCTGCTACCTATTCTGCACAGTGTGGGACTTACTCTGGCATTGTTGCCTGTTTCGTGTGTCTCATTTTCTAGCTACATGATATGCTCCTGGAGAAAAGAGAGGGGTTCACATTGGTTTTGTTTCTCTTTCACGCCTAGCACAGTGCCACTTATGCCCGGAATTGGGGTCTCATAAATATTTATGAATCAAATAAATGATCGACTTAATCTGAATTTGAAATCAAGGTAGTTTTGAAAGGAGATTAGAAAGCAGTGCTCCCATTGGAAGTTTCCTTTGCACATTTATTCACTCTGAGCCCGAGGGAAGATGGACAAGGCAGTGGCTCCAGTCCCTGCTCGACTCTAGGCCCAGGTGGACATTAAATTGAAGGCCTGCACCCCCACCCCCACCTAGGAAGGCGGGGGACAGAGCTCAGGTGTTAACTGGCCAGGGGAAGGAGGAAGGACACAGTCTACTTCTGAGTTGACTCTGACCAAGAAACTGGACCTTTCCTCGAACAGAAATGTGACAGCAACAATTATTCCAAAAGCAGTAAACAAGAAGTAGGGGGAAACACGCTTTGACTCCAGAGGAGTTTGAGGTGAGAGGCTGGTGGTGGTGGCTGTGGTGGGTCTGTCGGGCCAGGGTGTCGGGCTGAGCGTCACAGGATATTCCCACATACACTTTGTGACCTCATGTATTTCAGGGTGGGGATCTCAGCTCTCCAAATAAAAAAACCTGAGTCATCAGCTCCCCCAAGAGTGTCTGTCATTCCAAGGGCTTTGTAATCAGAAATGACATCGCTGGCCCAGAGCACCTCTGTCCTGCTGGGTTAGGCCACTCGGAGACCCAGCCTCAGAGAGGGGTGCCTGTGTGAGCAATGTGTGAACCAACAGAAAAACACGGCAGAAAATGAGGGAAATAGCAAAAAAGCCTAAGGAAAAACCAAGAAGAAAATAAAACGAGCCTATCTTTGCTCCTGAAGTGTTTTATTCAGAATTTTTTATATAATTCCTTCTGGCCCTCCATATCCGCAATCACGTATACATGCATTTACCTAATTGAGGTCAGACTGTAGCTACAGTTTCATTTCTTGGATTGTTTTGTGTTTTTTTTTTAATTTCCCATGTCTTCAAAATTATTTAAAATCACAGCTTTTTTTTTTTTTTGAGGTGTACTGGGCAGTCCTTGCTGAACATGGTTTTAATATTTTACGTTACCCAATGAACCTCTTTGGGCATATACTATATTTTTTCTTACATCTGCAATAATTTTTTTAGGGTACATTCTTAGCAGTGGTTGTTTGTTCCTCCCCCCACCTCCCACTAGTCTTCAATGCACTGTTTGTGTGGGTATATGGTCTTATAAAATTTTATCACATGCATAGACATGAACTCTCTTGTGTTACCTCTTAGTAGTCATATCCTTCTCCCAAATGTATCACTCGCAACCACTGATCTGTTCTTCGTCACTGTAATAGTTTCACTTTGAGAATGGAATAGACATAGAATCATACAGTATGTAATCTTTTAAGATTGCCTTTTTTTTTTTTTTTGTCCACACAGCACAGTGCCCTGGAGATTCATCCAAGTTCCTGCATGTATCAACAGCTCCTTCCTTTTTTATTGCTGAGTAGTACTCCACTGTGTGAATGGTCCCTGTTTTCCATTCACTCACTGAAGGTGATTTGACTTGTTTCCAGTTGTTTTTCCCCAGCTTTCCTGAGATATAATTACAAAATAGCCTTTTAAGGAACATTGTGTAAGTTTCAGGCATACAATGTAATGATTGGTTGTTCTTTAAAAGGCTATTGTCAGGGCTGGCCAAGTGGCTCAGTTGGTTAAGACCTCACTCAAGAGTGTGAGCTCTGAGCAACAGGGTCACTGGTTCGATTCACAGCCCAAGCTGAGCTGCTGCTGAGCTGCCAGCAAGTGGCAGGATGGCTCAGCTAAAAAAAAGACAAAACTATTTCATTAGTAATTATGATTTATTAAGCTTACTAAAAATAGCTCTTATGTTTCTTTTTAAATAAGAGTTGAATAAGAAAATGTATGCAAATTGGCTGGTAGGGGCCATCTATTTTACATACCTCATCTCTCTCAGGTCTGTTATCCCCATTTAATGGGTGAAGAACCTGAGACTCAGAGGTCGAATAAGTTGCCAAAGGCAGAGCCTTTCAAGCTACTTGTTTTCTATAATTCACCAAGTGGGGAGAACTTTCTTATTCCACTCAATGTCTACCACTGTCTAAAAAATGAGCCTGGTGTCTAGCATTACGGGGAAAAACAACAACAAACAAAAACAAAACCACCGACAAATCCTTACTATCTATATCTCTGGATTCTCCTGCCTTCTTTGGAACCTTCTCACAATATCCTCAGTATGATAGGCTTTCCACGATGACCCTGTGGAAGTTCAGAAGAAAGGACCCCACGATGTGCTTTTGTGGGATGTGGATTATTTTCAGCTAAAGGCAACTTTAGCCACAGGCTCAAGAGAAACTTCTGCCCCTCCCTTAACTACCTAGAAGAACTTGAATTAAGGGTCTTGCCCATAATGAGATTGTCAGAGATAACCTCTTTTGACCTATCTATAGGGCAGGGCAAACATATATTTAATACACATCTGTTCTTCTTATAATATCATCCTGCAATGACCCTTTGAAGCTCCCGAGTCCCCTCGCCTCATCCCTAGCTCAGAATGTCTCATATACCCATGTTCCCTTTCTGTATCTGACCCTCTTGTGCGTGTGTGGGATCTCTGACTCTCTCATGTATGTGGAGTTCCCATACATATGCATGTATTAAACTTGGTTATTTTCTCTTGTTAACCTGGCTCATGTCTGTTCAATTATTAGATCAGCTAAAAGAAACTTGAGGGTAGAGGAAAGTTTCCTCCCCCACAACCCCTTGTCTTACAAGAGGCACATTCTAGAGTAGCCCCTTCCTGAACAGCAATCTCACCTGTGAGGTTACTGCAAACCCCAGGACCATTTCCGGGAAGCTTCCAGCCGGGACTCATCTCATCAGCTGTGTGCCCGCCCTCATCAGCCTTAATATCTACTCCAGAATAAGAGCAGAAGCAACAGGTGTGTGAACTGCTCTGTGGGATTATCTGCCCCGTTTATCCCTGAATTGGCTGTATTTGTGCACCAGCCTGACCCCAACACATGTTACGTGGGGATCCCAAGTGACGTTGGGGCTTCATCCTCCCTTTTCTTCCATTCCAGTGCGTCACAGGAGAGGAGAGGAGTGTTACAAGGGAGAGTAACAGCAGAGGCAAGGTGCCGCTCCTCCTTCCTTGCCTCCACCAAACCCCTCTTTCTGTTACCCCAGATTTTGACATATGAGCTAGATCTATGAGCTCTTTTTATTTTATTTGCCCCAGAAATCTCAGACCAGTTGCCCAGAAATGAGACTTGCTGATATAAAAATTGTGTCAAGGGGGCATGTGGAGTTGGGCGTGGGTCTGGAGAGAGAGTCTAAGTAGGAAGAGAAAAGAAAGAAGGCTCGATCCCTGACAGAGGAGCTTAACACACCTTCTTCTAGGAAAGCTCTTCCTGCCAGTAGAATGCCAGCTAATAAATAAATGAAAAAGGGATGGTGGAGTTAGAAAATTATCAATGGATGCCAAACCTAGTAGATGAAAATTTGATGAGCAGCTGGATATTTACTTGGTCTGAAAGTACCCCCCTCTAAGATGCTTACTGATTCCAAAGGGAAAATAGTAACTTTACAGTGAAGAGAAACGTGGCCAACACCACGTGACCAAATGATGACGTTAACAGCCCCAGTAAAGGGTCAAACAAACATGCGGCCCCTGACATGATGCACTGAGGACTAACGTCACTTCTGTGGCATTAAAATCCAGATCTAATCACAAGACAACAATGGACAAGCCCAAATAATTGGCCTGCAATCTTCAAAAATGCCAGGGTCAAATAAGACAAAGAAAAGCTGAGATTAAAGATTCCAAATTAAAGACTAAGGAGACAAAACAAGGAAATGTAATGCATCATCAGACAAAAACAAAACAAAAACAAAACAAAACACTGAAGGACGTTATCAGGACAAATGGACCAAACTTGACTGTGGATTGTCAATTAAGTAATGGAATTGTATCAATGTTAAATTTCCTGATTTTGATAATTGTATTAAGAGTTATTTAAAAGAATGTCCTGTGCTTAGGAGAAACACACTGCAATATTTAGGGGTAAAAAGGTGTGGTATCTCCAATTTTTTCTTAAAAGAGAGAGAGAGAGAGAGAGAGAGAGGGAGAGAGAGAGAGAGAATGATATAGCAAATGAGGCAACTGGATAAATTGTACATGGGAGTTACTTGTACTATTCTTGCAACTTTGTGTAAATTTGAAATTCTATCAAAATAAAAGTTACAAAGAAAGGAAAAAAAGCAGTTGATGAATGTATATGCTAATTTGTAAAAAGAGATAAGGGGTATACCTTTATTATGCCCAGGGACTTGACAATTCCTTTTAGATCTTGAATTGTTATATTGTATTTTTAGATGAGCATGGGGAAGATTGACATATTTGTGACAGTAAGTTTTGTCATATATGACCTGTTTTTAAAAAAATTATTTTCTCTCTTTAAAAAAACAAACTGCCTTCTAGGCAGGTCCACATGCCTGGGAGTCAGGACCACTGAGTATATAATCTTGGGCAAATCAATTCATATCGTTTTTCCCTAGTTTTCTCATCATTTCCTTCGAAGTAACAAACTCTGCCTGCTCCCTTGCAGGGCTGCTGCTGACTCAGAGACTCAGGAAAGGAGGGGCTTTGGGAAGTCTGCTCCCTCTGTGCCCTGAGAGGGAGTTTATAGGGTTCATCTCCAAGGAGGTTTCTGTTGCACTGAAGACGCTGACCCCATCCTCTCAGCCCCCAACAGGTGCTGAGGGGATGCACTGACTGGTACCAGCGACCAGGTCAGACCTGAAGAGGCATTCCTGTGATCAGCCTAGACAGCGGTTCTCAACCTTCCTAATGCCGCGACCCCTTAATACAGTTCCTCATGTTGTGGTGACCCCCAACCATCAAATTATTTTTGTTGTTACTCTATAACTGTAATTTTGCTACTGTTATGAATCATAATGTAAATATCTTTTTGTTTTCCGATGGTCTTAGGCGACCCCTGTGAAA